CTGCCATGCCTGTAAGCTCCTCATTTTTGGTGGAAAGATCTTAAAAGCCTCTAGCTACAATTTTGAAGCACAGGTTAAAATTCCGAGCTGTTGCCTGAGAGACAGGAGGTGAAACAGCCCCTTCCTTCCTCCTGGTTCTGTGTGGTTTGTGAAGCACCTTCCAGCCACTGGCCCACAGGATGCCTGCTGTACTGTATGCTGAAAATCAGTGCTCTTCAGAATCCCAGGAGGACTTAAACACAGCGCTGGACCCACTTTCAGAGTTCCAGTGCCAGTAAGCCTGGTGTGGGGCCCAAGAATCTGCGTTTAGAACAAGCTCCCAGAGCCACCTACTGCTGCTCTGGGACCCAGGCTTTGAGAGGCACAGGTGGAGGTGTTCCCGAAGTTGAGACGCAAAAGGAGCTCCAAGCTGGGAATCTGGTTCCGGGGTCCCAGGTGGCCAGATACCAGGGACCGCTCACGCCCTCTGTTGGTGGTTGGTGGCATGGCTGGCTTTTCTTCCCCTTCGTTTTTTCTTTCAAACATTTTTTATCTTTAATACACGTTTGCCAATTGATACTACTAGAGTCGATGGGTTTCTGTCATCTCATTCTATAAAGGAGCAAACCATGGCCTGGCAAGGCTAGGGGGCTTTGGTAAACCACATGCTCACAGATGGTAAAGCTTGAACTAGAGCTCAGGCTTCTGATTCCCTTCCCTGTACCCTGGAGGAGTCTGAATCCACAGGCTGCTCAGGCAGATACACGGCCCCCAGTGCCCTCTCACTGAGATCCCACAACAGCTCTCTGGGCCAGTGGTATTACCTCCACTGGAGAAGAGGAGACAGGTACAAGGAGATCAAACACCTGTCCTGATCCCACAGATAGTGCGGGAGAGCCAGGATTTGAGCCCAGGCATTAGGGTTCCAGACCACAGCACTGAAGCCTTGTACTGTATAAGAGTGGGCAGAGTTTCTGGAGCACATCTATCTCTGGGCTGCACCTGCGGTGTCTTCCATCTTCCTTGCCAGTGGCTGAACATGCCTGTTTGCCACCATGGCCCCAGAGAGAGCTGGGAGAGCAGACAAGGGCAGGGGCAGCTGACCCCAGGCTTCCCTCACAGAGCTTCCCTCACTTATGCAGCTTCTCCCTTCTTTGTCCATTTCCGTACATCCCACATAGGCACAGCATGCATACAGGTACACATAGATATGGGGAGGACACAGACTTGCAGATTTGAAGCATGGAGAGGTGGGGGTGACAGAGACAGGGACTGGAGAGAACCCAGGGTCTAAGACATGTAGCCAAGGAGTGAGACTGGGAAAAAAACGAAGAAGAGCCAGGAAGGGAGAAATAGAAACCATGAGAATTGTATAGAGGGAAGGGGATGAAGGAACGCTCTAGAATTGCTGTGTGCTGGAATAGCCAAGAAAAGGAGTAGTTCCTGTCTTCAAGCAGCTTGTCCTACTGCAGGACGCCAAACACACAAACAGGAAATGTCAAAACAATGCACAGGCACAGAAAGAAACTCGGGGAGTGTGGAAAGTAGCACAGAGGCTGGGCGGCTACGCCATCCTCATCATAATCCAGGAAGGCTTCCTGGAGGAGGCAACATCTGAGGAAAGAATGAGGAAGACTCTGACAGGTACTGAGGGGGAAGATATGGGTAAGAGTATGATGAGACAAGAAGCCTGAAGGTGAAAGAGACTGGAGTGGGTCTTGGAGGACCCTGTTTGGACTTCATCCTGAAGGCATCAGGGAGCCCCTGATCAGTTTCATGGAAGCAGATCTGTGTGTGTTTACTCAGGAGTGCATGAGCTGCTGGGTAGAGAATGGATGGGTGGGCACAAGATAGGAGGCAGGAGGACCAGTTGGTGTGGCCCAAGCAAAAGAAAATGCTGCGAGGGCAGTAATAGTGGAGACAGCTCCTTTTCTCAGGCTATGCTTTGGGGAGAATGTGAAGTGAGATGGGCCTTGTTGCTGAAACTCAGGGCAGGAGGTATTGTGATATAGACACCTGCACCACAGAAGAGGCATTTCTGAGCATCTTCTTCGGATTTGACAAGGGGAGGCAGAGTTCTTTGAGAGGCTCTTCTCTCTCTCCCAGACCTCCATCCCGAGGGGGAGATGAGACGAGAGGGGTGAGCCACCAGCCCGTGAGGGATCAGGAACATTTTCTGTCTGCCTTTGGGGCTTGTCACGTGGGTTGTGGGCAGAAGATTGATGTTCCTAATTACATTTGGCTCAAGCTGATATTAAGTATTTGTCTCATTCCCAGAGCCCACAATGCCGGCGGATGGTGAGGAAGGTGCCAAGAGGCATGCTGGCTAGCTGAGGCTAACAATCTGGGATCTGAAATATCCATGAGGGATAAAATGGACAAGTCACAGCCATGGGGGAAGGGTGACCGGTGTTTTTGAGTTGTCCTTCAGTGTCTTCCAAGAATGGTTGAGGGGCCCTGGAAAGGTCTGAAGGTCCAGCCTCCGGTCTTGAAGGCTGATCTTACCAAGACAATCCAGACAGGGAATGTGACCCACTTCTGATGCAGGACAGCTCGCCTGGGGAAAATGCTTTTGTGGGTCTAATTTAAATTTCCTCTGCTGTGTGTCAAAGGTTTATTTCGCTTGATTTATTGTTAACAGCGTTAAATATTCACTGAGCACCTACTGTTTGCCCAGGGGCACATAGCAAGAGAAGCCATGGCCTTGTGCTCAGGACACTTGTCAGCTCATGTCGGGAAGCTCATGAAAACATCAGGCACTCAGACCCAAATGAGCATGGGGGCTGGAGTCCGGGTGCACCAAAGAGGTAGGGCCACAAGAGATGGGTTATGTTGAATTAGTGCATAAAAATCAGGAGGGCGTTCTTGGCCGGGGAACACTGTGGTCAAAAGCATGTGGTCCAACATGGGAACAGGAAGGGTGTGCACAGAGGAAATGCAGCAACATTTGCTCCCCAAGAGAATTAGCAAGTCATTCAAACACGTTGAAGTGGGGCTAGTAGCTAGCTGTCCATCTATCTCCCAGGGCAAGTATGAAGATCACATAGGGCAGCAGGTGTGAGTGTGCACTGTGGAACCCGCAGAGCCATGGTGCAATGCTGGGAATGCTAGGGACCATTTAAAAAGACTTCTGGGGCGCCTGGGTGGCTCAGTCCTTGAGCGTCTACCTTTGGTTCAGGTCCTGGTCCCAGGATCCTGGGATCGAGCCCCGCATGGAGCTCCTTGCTGGGCGGGAAGCCTGTTTCTATCTCTCCCATTCCCCCTGTTTGTGTTCCTTCTCTCTCACTATGTCTCTCTCTGTAAAATAAAATAAAATAAAATAAAATAAAATAAAATAATCAAATAAAAGCTCTCTATTAGAAAGACTTCTGTTCAAGTCCTGGCTGTCAGTGTGTGATCTTGGGCAGGTCCCCTCCCCTCTCTGAGTGTGTTCAATCATCAGCAAAATGAAGATGGTAATTCCTTCCTCATACTCTTGCAGGTAGGGTTACAGGAAAAGAAATTAAAATAAAAATATAGCAGGCCCATCCACTGAGCGCTCAGCAGATCCTGATGACTACTGTTGTCGTCTACTCAGCCGGCTCCTTGAAGGCGGGCTCCTTGAAGGCAGGCAACTGGTCTCCCCTCTTTCTCCAGCACCTTCCGCAGAGCACGTGCCCAGACACCACCTGGTCCACTTGGTCTAGTTAACTGCTTTGCACAGTCGCGGTGGAGCAGGAAGCCAGCACTTCCGGGCTTAAGGCAGGCAGTGGGGCGCGAAGATTCCTCCGCCTCCGTCTCCACTAACCCCTCCTCTTCTGAGTCTCGGAGGTTCAGTATTTGCCGAAACCGGTTCTGCTCAGGTGCTCGGGAAGGAGGAGACTTGCCCGGTTACCTTCAGGTGGTTGTCCCTCAAGTCCGTCAGCGGCTGGATGTGGCGTGACCCAGGTCAGGATTCATGCACCACACAGGTCGCGCCTGTGCTCCGCCAGAGCAGCGCTGCACCCAAGCGAAGAGTAGACACACCTAGGACAGGGACCGTCCGATCTCGAGAGGAGTCTAGCTTTTTTAACAAGGGGTTTCGTAGAGAGCTTGTGGCGACGTGGAAAGAGCGGGCGCCAGGACGACCGCCTGGAGCCAAGGATGGCTGTTTGCCCTTGTCTAAGTCACTTCCCAGTCTGGTCCTCAGTTTCCTTCTTTGTGAAACTGGCTACACTGCCCGCTGGACCAGCCAATCGCTGCGGGGAATTAGATTCAAAAGACCGCTTGTCCCGCGACCCTGTGCGGGGTCGGACGAGGCAGGGCCTGCGGCCGCCACGCCCCTCTCCGCTGCCGCGCGGCACTCTAGGCCCGGGACGGACGTCGCCAACCTCCAGGGGGCGAGCCTGGCGGGCTTCCCGGACCACGCGGCGTCTCGGCCGTCTAGCGTGTGACTTCAGCAGCGTCCCCGGGCCAACGGGGGCCCCCGAGCGCGGGGGTGGCCGTGCGCGCCCGCAGCCAGCAGGTGCCAGGACCTGGCCTAGCCCGGACGCGTGGCGTCCGCGGGCGCGAAGGGGTTAAGGCCGCGGGCCTGGGCGCCTGGCCGGGGCCAGGGGAGCGGCGGTGCCCGGCGGAGGGCTAGCAAGCCCCAGGCGCAGGGCAGGGCAGCGGGCGGGCGTGCGCTTCCTCCTCCTCCTCCTCCTCCTCCCCCCCGCCTCCTCCTTTGTAGCGAGTTCCCGGCCCCTCTTCCTCCCCCCGCCCCCCAGCCTGGGCCCTCTCCCCCTCTCCCTTTCTTCCTGCCTCGCCTTCCTGCGGCGAAGGAGGCTCATCTATTATAAATGCACATTCGGGGCTGACATCAGCGGCGAGCGGCGGGCGAGCGCCGACGAGCGGTCCCTGCGCGCTGCCCGCCCGGAGCGCGGCCCCAGGCTCCTGCGAACTGCCCGCGGGGCGCGGGGAGCGGCGAGCGCGCCCAGAGCTGCCCGCGCCGCGCCCGCCCGCTTCCCGCCGCCGCCTGGGGCCCGCGGTGGACCCGGGCCGCAGCCTCCGCACGCCGCGCCCGCGCCCCCGCTCCGCCCGGGAGTTTCTGCATGACTGTCACAAAGGTAAGCGCCGCTCGCCCGCCGCGCCCGGGACCCGCTGGCGCCTGCAGCCCCCGGCCTCGGCTGCTGGGGGCGCGGGGGTGTGGGCGTGGGGAGGGGGCACTGGTGCTGGGGAGGTGCGGCGCACGCCTCCTCTGCTCCCCCGGTCCCTCCAGTCGCTCTGGCCCCCAGGGACTGCGGAGGGAAGGGGGAGGATGCCGCTTTGGCAGCCGCAGTGGTTTGGACACCATCCCCCCCCCCAACCCTCACCGGCCCGCCCCGCGACTGCATTTTTAACCCTTATTTAGGATGCTGCATTTTTAACCCCTGGAGAGCAGTGTTGGGCAGCTGCTTAGTGTCTCCCGTTAGAGCGCGCCGGGGGGAGCGACGCTGGCAGGAGTGGGTATGGGAATGGGCTTGTCGCCCTGGGGAGACCATCCGATGGGCAAATCCACCCACCTGCCGGCCGCTGCTGCCGGTCCCGCGAACTCTGGCCCCACTCCGGAGCTACTCAGTGGAGAAGGCACTCCTCCAGCTCCAGGAGTTGCCGCCAGGGGTAGGACAGGTTCCCTGATGACCCTCTTGAAGATGCGGGGAGGGAATGTGACAGGGACCGGAGAGATGCGCGTTCTGACAGCCCCCATATTGGAGGAGAGTTCTGACTCTGCTACAGCGGCCCAGGTTTATTGGAGAGACTTTGGGGCCTCCCCATTATGGAAAGCAGACCAAGGTAGTTGTGGAAAGTGCCCAGCATCAGGAGACTAGAGGAGACCTGAGTTCACTCCCCCCTCTGTCCCAAACCCCATGGATGACCTTGGCTGGGCCCTTCTGCTCTGGGCCTCAGTTTCCTCTTGTGGAATATGAGGATGAAACTGTGGGTCCTGGGGGTGGTGACAGATTAGTTGAAGAACTAGTAAGAAGATCAGAGGTGTAAACCCAGACTTTTCAGAGGGCCCTGTCAGGGTAAGGAGCTCACAGCCTGGCCTTGGCCTTAGGATTGGCAATCCCTGCACCCAAGGCCAGATTCCAGCAGCTACCCACCTGGCTCTCAGGACTGGAGAACTGGAGGCCAGTGTGGAGAGGAGGTCAGAGCAGTGGACCAGATGGAGGGTCAGCTGTGGAGGTGATGGGAAGGGTTCTTCTGGCTCCTTCTGCTAAGCCAGAGGTTACCAGTGCCTCCAGGAGATCTGCCTGCCCAGAGACAGCTTGTCTGTCCAGGGTCTTTGGGCTCAGTGCCCAAACTGGGACTTAGAAACGTTGCTGGGGGTGGGGGAGATGTGCCTGGGGGCTAAGGATCTGCCTCAGTTTTGACTACTCCTGGCAGGGCTGCTGTGGACCACGGTGGGTAGGACGCTTCGTGTTTGGAAATGATGCAAATGCTGTTAGCCTGGGAAGGATTATTATCATTAAGGTTATTCATGTCAAAGACGCAAGCAGGCAGAGGCAGAAGAGTAATGGATGGGCCTGGATGAGAGAGAAAGCATATGAGATTTGTAATAATAGCACTGAAATTTGACTCATTGCCTTCCCTGCGTCTCTTTTATGTACATGAGCTCAGGCAGCCTTCCTTCCCAGGAGGCCTGCAAGGAAGGTGTGTTCAGCCCCCTTAGAAGTGGAAGAGGCTGAGGCCCAGAGAGGAAAAGGGACTTGCTTAAGTTCACACAGCAAGTAAGTAGCAAAGCTGGGGTTTGCCGTCAGCTCTGTCACAACCTATAGCCTGTGATCTTTGTCTTGCTCTGCACTGTTGAGTACATGGAGGCTGGGTTATGCCCATGAAAGGGGGTCACTACTCGGAGCCTCGGGCCCCCGGGGCATGGAGCCCACAAAAGTGGGTACTTGTCTGCTAAACTCAGTGGCAGGCCTAGCCTCTTGGATCTAGTGATTATTCACTGATGCCCTCCCCTTTCCCCACAGCCCCCACCAAACCCTCCTAGATGTTCTCCTGCCCTAACCAATGTGGCGTTAGTTTAAGCCAGCTCAGAGGATTAGATAAAATCCCCACCTTAACCCTAGCTTCTCTCCCCTTGCCAGCCCTTCACAGACCAGCAATGTTCATGTGGGGAGGCCTAGGAGAGCAAAAGAGACGCAGGAGAGGGCCTAGGGGCCCTCCTGCTGCCTGAAAGCCTGCCAGAAGAGGCTTCTCCAAGAGGTCTAGAAGAACCACAGTGCTCTGGGAGTCTGAAGGCTTTAGTCCTCAGTCAGCTACCAAAAGGCTGTGTGACCTTGGGCTAGTCACGGCCATCTCTAAGCCTCTGTTTTTTCCATCTGTGAGGTGAGCAGTTGGTTTCTTGGATGTCTTGGATCCCTTCTGTTGGGCGTTGGCACATCTGCAAGGAAGTGGGCTCTGATGGCGACAGGGGGAGCTCTCTCTTTTGGGGGGTTGGTCTAGTCACAAGACAGATAAGAAGAGGAACCCTCGAGGGGGTCTGAGAGGTGGAATCGCTGCTTACCAACTGGAGTGACAGGCAGGGGAGGACTAGGTTGGAGGGTGAGACCCCAGCCCTGGCTGCTCCTTAAGGCAAAGGTCGCCCCTTTCTGGGGAGCCCCGGCTGCCTGTCCCTTGAAGTCCTCTGGGCCAGGGGTAAGGCGTGGATTGGGAAGGAGGTCTCTTTAGCTCAGAGGGCCTGGAAAGTGGAAGAGAGGAAACTGATGACAAGCTGTTAGATCTTCAGGAGAACATCCTGAGTCTAGATGGGCCTCCAGTTTCCATCTACCGTCCCCCTCTCACACACACCCTGGCCCCCTTCCTTGTGAGGTACAGCTGCTAAGGTTGCCCATGAAGTCTGGGGAGCTTGGAGGAACCCCTATCCCAGATGGCACGAGAGATGAAGAGCCATGCAAGTCTCCGGAGTGGGACCTTCCAGGCTGATGGCATGATTGCTGGTTATGATGTTTTAAACTCTTATTTTATTGTGTGGAATTTCATAAGCTGTCTTAGGTTCTTTACACAATGATGAGGAGAAGGAAGATAAAAAGAAGGGATGCAGCCTGTCAGACCATAAACATCCCCAGGAGGTTAAGGGCCCTTCTCCTCCCAGGTTCAGTCCGGTATCAGTCCAGAGGGCAGGTGAGGGTGGAGGGAGAGAAGGCTGCTTTCCCAGTAATAGGATGATTTTATTCTTTGCCCTTTTCTGCCTGCTCTTTATACGTTTTCTGTCTCGATGCCGTTTCAGTCATGTACCAGACTGACTGTGCTTCTCTGGCCCTAAATATGTTTCTAAACTCCCATCAGCTAGAAAAACAGAAAAAAACACATTAAAATTGTGCATAGAGTACAAGTCAATAAGAAAGGTCTGCCTCTGTAATGCAGGACTTTGCAGACACCTTTTGCTGCCTTGAGGTCCTTTGGAGTGATTTCCTGGCTTTTGTCTGGCCGTGGTCAGAGCTGGGGCTTGTAGGTAAGGAAGGTGACTGGGCTTCCTTGTTCCTGTGTGTGGCTTGTCACACGAGATGCTGGGAGCTCAGCACTTTCCTGGTCCCCAAGGCCACCCCCGGGGAGTCGGCAGTCCAAGAACAGAGTACCCCAAACAGCCAGAATGCCTGCTGCACCTCAGAAGGTCTTAGGAGAAGGAGTGTGGGCAGACAGAATATTCTAGAGGCCAGCATCCCCCACTCTGAGCAGCCAGTTCCAGGTTCAGAAGTGACATCGCTGACCATGGCCAGGCCCCTCATTCTGCACGGCAGCCCTTTCTCTCCTGCCCTGTCCCAGCACAGCCTAGCTCACAGAGGGGAGCCCCTGGCTCCTGCTGGATGTGCTGGAACCAAGGACAGTGTGGTCTTGTCCAGGAAGCTACTAACAGACCTTCGTTTGGCCAGGTCGTGTGTCCTTAGGACCCCTGAAGAGCGACCTCAGAGAATAGGATGTTTGAGTCAAACCATCCAAATCTCTCCCCTGACAAATAATAGAACAGGGGCCCAGGGAACGAATCCTAAGTTGCCTAAAGTCACTCAGCGGGTTTGTGGCTGGAGGAGTCAGAACCTGAGGGCTCCTGATTCCTGGCTGCCGTGCGAGGGGGGCCTCAGGCAGCCTGTGCAGGGACAGGGGGTTTGGCCCCACTCCAGTGACCCCACTGCACCACCCCAGCCTGGACCTTTCGGGTCAGAATCTCCCTCTTCTCTTGAAAAAGCGTCTGGGGTCCCTTGTGACCTCCTGGGCCGGGACAAAGGAGAAGGAAGGGGTATGAAGCCTTCTGCTTCCAACTCCCAGACCAGGGTCTGGCCAGTCCAGAAGATGCTTGGACTCCCAGACATTCCACTTCCCAGCACCTGTCTCCTGTCTGGCTCTTACTGGGAGAAGAGAGGAGAGAGCAGGCCTGTGAGAGAGCCAGTTTGAGGGCAGAGATGTTCACCGTTCCCCACAGAGACCCAGCTCCCAGAAACCTGAAGCGGGAAGTTCTGCCTGCTCTGCCCTGTGTGCCCATCATACCTCCTCCCTTCCCTCAGTTCTTGCAGATACCCAGCATTCTCATGCAGAAGGTATGTGCTAGCGTTCACTGGTTCCTAGGGCCAGCACCCTGGGAGCTCCTAGTCTGGGCCAGGCTGTGTGTTAGGCATCAGGGTCACAGGACACCGAAGCCACGGCCCCTACTGTCCAGGACCTCTGAGGAGATGGATGAGGGAGTTGTGCCGAAGCACTGAGTTAGGATCTCAGGGTTCTGCGGGCACAAGCCAGGTCTGTCTCCTGCATACTGTTAGTGCTCAAAACCTCATCCTTTCTCCTTCCTCGCTGTCTCTCCCTCCAGAGCTCCCATGGGTTACTTTCTTCCCACCTGGGCCCCTTGGCCCTGTGTTCTCTGGCCCAGGGGTCATTGCCACCTTTGCCCCTATGATAGCACACAGAGGCATCTGGGAAGGACCGTGAGGAGCCCTGGGGCCCCCCAAAGCCCCACAGCGAGCCAGCCCTGTGGAATCGGCACAGACTTGAGCTTGGCGGGTTTGGGAGTGTGGACACTGGCTAAACCCACGGCCTGGCAGCATCCATCCCTGGCAGCTCAGAGATGGAGTGAGTTTTTCCATTTCTCTCC